AGAATAAGCAGCAAAGGATGTAGACAAATATTCGCCTTCAAGGCCACCATACTGCAAAACCTGAAGCTTACACTGTGACTGGATGCACATGGTAAATGGTACTGCTGCTAAAAAAATGCCACCGTGCCTGTCCACAGAGGTGCTTTTTCTCTAGACATCATGTTTGCACTACTATGGTAGCACAGCCCTATGTTCAAAAGCGGTGTAAAACTCATCATCTTGAAAAACAACCCAGTGCACAACAACGTGAAAGTAGTTTATGAAAATATTCTGAAGTTCAGAAGGGTTACCAGCAAATAAAAAGCAATTCCAGTTCTGTTTAAACACAATGGCCTTGCTCTGCTGTTTAATGGAACACAATTTGAAATCTAATAAATTAAAACTACAAAGAAACCTAAAAGTGAACAGAAATAGCTCATATGCTACCCCTGGCCCTTGAGTTATCTTTTCAGATATTTTAGTTTTGCCTTTTGTTATTCTGAATACTTTTTTTGGTTCTTACTGCTGTTTGAGAAATCGACAAAGAGAATAGTCAAACACTTCTTTAGTGATATGTATGCATATACAAACATAATTATTTAAATGTATACAACAATAAAGAATCACCAAATGCACATTTTTTTTCCTAAATAATATTCATAAGCCCTGCACACAATACAAAAATTGCAGTAATTAATAGGGGAAAAGTGCAATGATTGTAATTTATAAAACAACCAAAATTTAACCACTAGACATTATAGTTAGCACCTCTTAGTGGCTAACTTTGTACTTTTCATATTTTTCTAATATGGAGAAAAAAAAAAAGCAAAAGCTGCCTAAATGATAGATCTGTATGTAATTTATAGAATGCAACAACTCTTCTCTCTTAAAAATTAGAGTAGAAAAAGGACCTGTTAGAGAACATGATTACTCTATAAAACGAGTCTTCTAGAACAGCAAATTACCTCAGGCATCCTGTGGTATTGCGTAGAACTAGGGAAGTCTGAAATTTAATTTTATGATCATCATCAAAGGAAGAACTGTTCCATCCAGAATGTGGCACTATCACAGTGTTTGTTAGTGTTGACAGAGCATCTCTAATGATTGTCATCTTTACTGCATCGCATGAAGACAAGTTCCAGAGAACCCCTTAAGAAAAGATTTCCATTGCAGTAAAGTCAAAAAAGACTTGGCAAACAAGTATAAAGCAACATTAACAACTTAAAAGACATCACTTTAAACAGGAGAAAGATAATTTACCTATGCAAAACCAAAAGAAATATAATTAGTTTGCAATGTAACTTTAATATTATTCCAACATTATTGGTCAGTAAGTGGTCAAAGCTGCCATTAAAAGATTCACTTCACAGAGTGAAATAAATATTTCTAAACTTCAGATTATAATGTATTCAGCAGCCTTCACTTTAGCTGTCTGGCTGCTGTGTAAGCTCTTTGACGGAAGAGTTGGAATGCAAGATGATAATCAGAATAATCCGAATAGATCAGCAGCTAGGTCTCCCACAATACTGAGAAGGAAAACACACATATCAGTGAGTAAATACTCTTCTTAAGGAAAAACACTCAGCAGAAACACACGCTGACTGACGGGAGATGTTCCCTTCTTTCTTTCCTGAGGTACAGGTCATTCTGCTACCTGAGAGGAGAGGGGGAAGTCCCCACTGCACTACAGGAGTCTACAGGAATATTCCCTAGAAGCAAACTCTCTCATCTCATTTGCAAAACGCCTTTCCATCTTTCTGAAACACATGTGCCTCCAGCTCACTATCTCTCTCTAACGCTAATATCTTTCTTAGGTATCTGAAGATCAATCCCATACTGACTACCCGTAATGGGAAGAAAAACCTGTCTTTTTTTGTAATACGTCAGGCAACATGCCAAATCAGTGCAAGCTGTATAAACATGCCACAGCAGACACTCCTGTTCCTAAAGAGGTCACTAATGGATTTGCCAGATTAATTCAGCACAAACCTTCATATAAAAAAAAAGAAGTCATTTAAGTCATTTACTATTAACTAGAGTTTTATTGATGTCTGTCATCTATATGCACATTTGTAGGTGTGCATGCCCAGTCACTGCAGCTGGAATGGAGTGGGGTACCAGTGACACTGCTTCCCGAGCGTGCCTGGCAGGAATGGCACCCTACACTACTAGTTGGTTCCTCTCCCAGAGCAGAATTCCAGTGTAGAAGGTAAGGTGTGAATATTTACACAAACAGAAAAAATATCTCCGAAGAAAGCAGCTGCTGGTAACCTTCCTCCAGTAACTGTTCATATGGACATTACAACTTGACTAACGCTATTTATGTAGCAGGACACCTAGACAGAGGGACGTGTTTTGCCACACACAACCCTGAATTCCCTGAAAATTTATGCTTACCAAAAATAGCCATTTGGAACACATTGACAAATAACATTTGGCAATAAAACTTTGATGTGTTTGACGCACACCAATTTTTGGTAACTTGCTATTTGCTTCCTATTATTGTTGTTCTTCCTTCAGAAATTCTACTTGTTATTCACTACTGGTTCAAGCGTTTACCTTCCCGGTATTACCAGCACATTTACACAGGCAAGTAACTGTGTAAATGTAAATGTAAGAAAGCAGCTGCTGGTAACCTCCCTCCAATAACTGTTCATATGGACATTACAACTATGGGTGACCGTCAGCAGTAAGCTCCTGACTTACAGAGGTTATATGGAGGAGGTCACTACTGGAACTGTCGCTACACTGTTAAGAGAAATGTGTCATGCTTTGTACTTCAGACAAGGGTACGGCCTTTAGTGGAAGGGCAGCTAAAACCAGGCAGCTAAATCTCAGAAATAAAAATGCTCCTTACAGATGCCATTGAAACTGCATGCCCTCTGTGAGTGTGTAACCTGATCCCTAGTGGTATTTTCGTTTGTTGCCTCACTAGTTCTAGCCAGTCGGCAGTCTGAGATGAGAAGGCATATTTATCAGAAGAGACAAGGCATTTTTTCTGAACTCTTCATCCTATTCAAAAAAAGGCATGAACATCTGACCTCCAAAGGGGGAGTCTTCAACAGCCCTGTAAGAAAGAGGTTTGGGAGAGGGAAGAAACAGATCGTTATCCTGATTTATACGAAACTTGGAGATTAAAGTTATAAACTACCTCTTAAAAAGGAACATGGAAGAGATTTGGCAATATTCTTAAGAGAGAGATTGTTTACATTGGAAATCTCTACAACTTTGCAGGCAGAAGTTAACAGCTAAAAGAAAGGTCATAAGAATACAAGAGCAAAAATGAAGCGAGAAGAAACCAAATCTATGGACGTCATGGCTGAAAGATCATCAGTGTTTTGCAAACATGAGATCTTGTGAAAAAAATTCTGAAAAAATGACAGAGAAGGTAGATTGGCAGATGGGTGGCAGCCATTAAAGAGTATTCAGTAAAGGTCCCAAGTGTGTGACCTGACATGATTCTAGATCAGGCAGAACCTGGAAAGCCAGTGTCCAAAAAGGAGGAATGCAAGACGAACAATGGAGGGGGGAATATGGTTTTGTTTTGGTCCCCCCCCCCCCCCAAATGATAAACATGGGAAGAATGGCCTGCACTGGTATTACTGCTTTCTTGCATTGTATGCCTGGGATATTAGATACTTAAGTGCAGAGCTGAACATAGAAGAGCTAATGTAAACATACTACAGAAACTTTCTTCCTGGAAACTATAGCAAGAAGTCTAGAGTATTTTACATTCACCAATTAGCCAATTAGCTATCAATCTTTTATCCTCAGGCAGAATTCTATAGTTCCCTACCTGCAGAGTCTTCTTACGTGACATTCAGATACAAAAGTATGAGATCTGATGTAAATTATCAGCAGAACTGTATATGCAAGTAATATGCTAAACACGGCATTCAATTATCCTTTTCATCATGAAACACAGCTTAAAGTTCATCTAAATTCTCAGCAGGTACTCATCTTACTCTAAATCTTTTCCTCACAAACAGTATTTTACTAATTGTAAATTAGTATAGCCGTGTACACTCAGCAACAAACATTAAACAGCATTTCCACAATAGCCCAATAAAATTGCTACTATAAACCATATGGTTTGACTAGATCTCGAACATTTAGTTTCCTCAGAAATAAATTATGGGGGGACAAGACAGTAAATGTTACAAGAGGTGACAAAACCAAAAATTTATAAGACAGTAAAAGTTTTTAACACAGCCACACAACTAGCCACCTTACAACAGAGTTTTTGACTAATTGGTGCAGAAGCTCTCCAGATGGGAATTTTTGGACTGTCCTGAAGATCTCCCCCAGTCAGCTCCTGCTGTGCCTAGACCATTTTTTGTGTTTTAATGTATTGATTAACATCATGAGTGAAGAATCTGGTTATTCCAGAGACTGTCCTATGCTAGTCCTGTTACAGAGTTGGCTACATAGTATATTATAAAGACACTTGTAAATAGTCCATAGAAAGGGCATTCTGCAAAAACAGTCATGCAAGACAGTCTTCTGAATATGATTAAACTACATACAAAACATCTCCTAGCTATCTTACAATGATCAATAGCAATGGATCATGCATACACTGGAGAGACCTCATAGGACCATGCGACAGTTAGATATAAGAATTCAGAAGAACAGCAATTTGGGGAGTCTCAGATGATGCAGCTAAAGACACGTTGGAAGGACTCCTGCAAGAGAGACTCTTGTCACCATCTGGAAGTGACAAACCATTGTGTTCAAGTGATCTGCTTCCCCGGGTGTTACCATATGCCAAGACCCCCAGAAGCTTTTTTAAAAACACACTATCTGTGAATGTCCACACAAGAAGCAAACGTTGCACCGTGCCTGTGCTGTCTGCTTCTTGTTCCTCTTAGCTGTCCCACTGACACTGCATGAGCAGCAGAGTCTGCTGTGACTCTCACTCCTTCCTCTGCCTGCTACATCTTGCCATCAACAACCTCTTCCCACCTGATCCAGTCTTCTGAAAAGGGACTGGATATGCAACCAAGAACAAATAAACCAAACCTACTGTCTGTTTCAACAGAAAATTTTGAAGATTTCGAAGAATACATGCCCAGCCACTTCCTTTTTTCTTGTTCTTCATACCATCTGTTTATTATACTTATCTTGGTGTTCAGATCTTCCCACAGTTCCTGATCCTCATCAAATGACGACAGAAATCTGACGCCAATCTTAGAGTTGCTCTCTTCCGCTTCCCAACTCCAGGCTCCTAAACCTAATTTTTTCCAGCCTGGCTCAAGATGGGACACCTCCAACTCTTACTTGTTAGATTTGTTTCTCCTGCTATCCTCCCCTTTCTGTGCTCTCAATAGCTAATGTACAGAAGTGAGTCCTCTCCAATAGAAGAAGCACTAGGACCAGCAAACAGAAGAAGAGTTTACCTCCTTACAAAACTGAATGGGTTTCTGGCACCTCTGAAGGACATGCCGTTTGAACCTTCCCATCGGTAGTCATGAGGTAGCAGTCAGGAATAGGTACACACAGAGAGAGGTCTGCTGCAGATCACAGACGCTCTGACCACACAACCTTTGTTCTTCTGGAACCGTACCTCACCCATTCAGTGTCCCTGATATTTTTAGACTTCCTGTGTGACAGAACACCTGCTTAATTTTTTTCCTTACAATTGGACTTCTTACTTGTACCTACTGTCTGGTTACTTTTTAAATCACCTGCTATTTCACAGAAATATTACTTCTGTGAAAATTATACATTTCCTTCCAATAGTTTGACATAGGACAAAATAATAAATTAATTTGTAAACAGCAAAAAGCAGACTATCTCATTCAGAGTCTGATAATCCTGAGGAACTAAAGAGGAAAAATCCACAACAATGGATACTTCACATGTTAAAGTGTTCAGAGATTCTTGATACTTTTAATACACAGACCCATTTTAGAGCCACCTTGTAAGTATTATTTATGGCTCATAACTCCAGCTCCTGTACAGCAAGACTTCCAGTAATGAAAGAGAATTGATTCAAACTGGGAAATAAAAAAATAATTTTAAAAAAAGTACTCTTTAAAGTTGCTGTAGAGGGTTTTTTCATAAAATTTTTGAGTGATTCTCAAAAATTGTTTATGGCTTCACCAAACTTTGTATTGCATTACATTTACACACTCAAAATAAGCTGA